CGTGCTGCATCTGTGAGCGTATTTCTAAAATGGAATCTTACTGCATATACTTTTTTTAACAGGGACTATTTTTGTACTTTTGTTCTTAGTAATAACTTTCAGTGTACATTTTTTAAATATTGCCTGTAAGAAATCATAACCAAGTATGAATTTTTGGAGCAGTAGTTATTAAACTTCAACAGGTATTAGAATTACCTAGAACAGTGATAGGTAAACTTTTTCTGGATTGGGTCGGATCACAAATATTTTAGACTTTTTGGGGCATACAGTCTATGGCCCAGCTGCTCAATTGTGATGCTGTAGCCTCAAAGCAGCTGTAGCCAATGTGTACACAAATGGCCATAGCTGTGGGTCAAATTTTTATTTCCAAAAATAGGTGATAGGGTGGATTTGGTCCATGGACCATATTTTGGCAACCCCTGGTTTAGAGAAAGGGTCTAAGAATATTTACTGATTACAAACTATGTGTTCTAGTCACTTGGAGTATAAAACAAAAATCCTGCCTGCCCTTAGGAAGCTCTCATTCCAGCTCCTATATTGTTAAACAATAAACATATTAAATCTGATGACATGCTAGAAAATGATAAAAACAATGAAAAAAGAAAAAGAACCACCAGAGCAGAGTATAAGGAATATGTTGCAATTTAAAAGGATGGTTAGGGTAGGTCATACTTAGATGGTGAGATTTGAGCAAAGGTGTAAAGGAAGTGAAGGAGTTGGCCTGTGGATGGATATCTGAGAGTTCCAGGTACAAGGGAACACCCCACGTAAAGGCCCTAAGGTGGGAATGTGCCTGGTGTGTTTCCAGAGTAGCAAGATCAGTGCAGGTAGAATGTGGTCAGTGAAGAGGAAGAGATTCATTGTTTATTTCTTCTGGAAGATTTTTATGGCTCCCAAGGGACCCCTAGACCAAAGTGCTTCTCTATTACTCATTAACTTGCTTTGCCTCACTTAACAGTATAGTTTAGTACCATTTAAATGTATATAACTGTTCTACAGCCTAAACTTAAAAGTCACATACTATTCCATCACACCACTTATTTATGTTTGTAATTCCCTTATCAGTGGACTTTGAGGTGGTTTTCTAAGTTTTCATCACTGTAGCAGCACTACAGTGAACATTCTTTTGGTTAAATTTTTGACTGAATCTAGGATTATTCCTTAGATTCCTTAAAGTAGGGAGTGAGCTAGAGTGGCAGCAGAAGGCGAAGACCTCTGGTGTATATTTGTCAAGCCCTTTAAGGAGCACCGCCCCTCCCCTCCCCAGCTGCGACCTCTTCACACATCCCTTCCTGACCTCGCCACTGTGGGTTGTGGTTCCAGGCTCAAGCACAGACATCAGTGAAGACTGGGAGAAGGACTTTGACTTGGACATGACCGAAGAAGAGGTGCAGATGGCACTTTCCAAAGTGGATGCCTCGGGTGAGGTGAGTGGGCCTGGCTGGCCACAGGGAAGCGATCCCGGGGAGCCCGGGTCTGAGGCCTTTCCCCACCAAGCCCAACTGTCCCCTCAGGGTGCATACCTGTGCCTCTCTGAGGTGGCAGACTGCAGGGAAGAGAGCTGGGACCTCCCACTCAGGCCCTGAGCAGTTGTCATCGGCAGGCTCTGCTGCCCCTCAGTTCCAGGATGGATGAATGGGAGAGTTCCTGACATTAGCTCTGTGTCAAAATCACCAAGGAACTATTAAAAGAATGCAGATGCCAGACCCTGCTCCAGATCTTCTGACTCATGGTCCCCCGGTGTGGGACCTGAGTAGATTTCTTGCCTTGCAGACAAAAGACAATGTGATCTAGGGCTGATCATTTAACCTGAGCCTCTGTTTTTTCATCTGAAACCTGGAATTGATGATTATGAGCTTATAAGCTGTCATAGACAATGTATGTAGACATGTCAGTCACAGTGCTTGGGACATGGGAGCACTAGTAGATGTTACCACCACAAGACCCAGTCTAGGTATTATAAGCTCAGAGGCCTAGTACGCATTCTTCACTACTGCTCAAAGTCATGAGTGGGTCATTTTAAATGAGAGGCTGGGAGAAAAGCTCATGTAGCCAATAAGTGACAGGACTGATGCTCCAGCCCAGACATACGATTCAAGTCACTGTTACGTCCACTGTCACAGAGAACCACGTGATTCCTTCTATCACATAGCTCATGAACCTGCTAACGAGGTGAACAGATTAGAGGCACGGAAAGGGCCTCGTTTTTCATATTGGGAACTGAAGCCCGGAGAGGAGGTAGTGATACCTGCAAGAGCATTTGGCACCTGTGATCTCACGGCACCCACGGCAGGGAAGGCCCATGCAGCCCTGTCATGCTGCAGGGGCTTCACGGCTTTTGTTTAAAAAGCCCTCTTTGAAAACCTGACGCACAGTGTCCCTGAGCAGAGTCATTCTGTAACCCGTCACAGTAGGGATCAGCTGACAGCAGGCCAAGAGAAACGGCCTGGGAAGACTTCAGCTGGGGACGAGAGTGCTGGAGCCTCTAGTGAAGAGCCTGTGAGTGCCTCTAGTCCAGGGCCACACTTGCTTCTAATTATAATGCCACTCTCAAGTTCTCTGTCTCTCTGAGCCGCCATCTTAATCTGTTCAGCAGGAGACAGTTTTCCTTAAGGAATTGACTGACTTGGTTCCCGTGGGCAAGGCATCCCCCTTATAGAGTCCAGTGTTGGTTGGTGGAAGCATTTCCTTTAGGTCTGAAATGATCAGAGCAGCACATCCACGCCTTAGGCAGAGGACAACTCTGCTCCCCAAATACATTCCGTTAAGGCTAGTGGTTCACTCTCAGGGCCACTGTATGGCCCAGGGTGACGGGGGTGAAGGAGGGCTCTCTGGAAATGGAGGCAGCAAGGGGAGCTTGAATCTGGGCTTGACTTAAAGGAGTAAATTTCTTTTTGTGCTCTCCATTATTCCTCCCATTTACAGCTGGAAGATGTAGAGTGGGAGGACTGGGAATGAGGGGAGCCAGGGCAAGCAGCTCCCCCTCCACAGCACCTCCCATTTCACTCGATCGTCTCAGCCCAGCCCTGGAAGACACTGATCAAGAATGTCCCCCAAATCGCCTCTATCAACTAGAGCTCTAGGCACAGATTCTGGGTTGCTCCTTGCTGGCCCTGTGGATCTCTGCTCACAGCTGGGAGGGGGCTCACAAAATCCAAACCAAGAACTCTGACTTGTGCCAACCATAGGATGACCTTAGGGGGAGGAGACCTACCCCCTCACCGGAAGAGCCTACATTTCTCTGCTGAATACCCACTGTTCTTGGGGATTCTTGCTGGGAAGGTCTAAGGAATAGCTCCATCCCTTCTGCCTGTGGGGACAGGAACTGAACCATCAGTCTCTTGGAAGAAGCTAAGTCAACACACTGTCCACCCATAAGCAGGCAAGGAAGGCCATGTCACCTCCCTTTGGCTAGACAGGCATGGCAAACACATTTTGGTTCCTATTCCAGTGGGTAAGAGACATTTGACTCTGGGAAATTAGCCCCTCTTGGGAATATCCCATTCCCAGGTATTTTCCATTCCTGGAAAGGTTCCTCGTGGTTCAGAATCTAGAGACCAAACCCTGAGTTCTCCATTTTGCATCCAGTCCAGGCTGGTATGTCCCCAATGCCTTTCCCAGGGCTTGTTCATGTCAGATGCACCCAAGTCCTTAGCCCAGCTGTGCCACCTGCAAGAGACTGCTCTTGCTTTTCTTCCCCTCCCCAAGAAGGGAGGGGCCTCTCCAGACCCTTCTGTGCATTGCCTGGTGGGGTACGTTGCCCAGCCAACTACACACGTCACCTGGATCTTAGGACACAAGCCAGCTCCAAGTGGTACAGAGCAGTGATCAAAGCTGAATACTTACATCCCTGGTAAGCTCAGTTTCTCTGCCTCAACCCTTCTGCTTCTGGAAGGGATATGCTGGAGGTGACCTGAGATTTTCACCAGGCTTCTGGAAAAGCTCTTCTTCTGAAGGCAGACCCAATCCCTATGGCTCTTATGCTTCACTCTGGAAAAGCTACACCTCTCTTGGGGAAATGAGGGGCTGCAGGAATCCCTGGAGACCCTGGTGCTTCACGATGCTGCTCTGGTGATTCTTGTACATAGTCTGGTGTGTTCAGTGATTTAATTGGATCGAGGCAGGGATGCCAAGAGAGGTGGTCACTTCCACTTCAAACCTTCAATGAGGGGGTGGGATGGAGAGAATGCTGAATCTTTTTGATGGGATGGGGGGTTTTCTCTTTGTAATTTCTTTAGTTTAATCTTTTGGTTGTTTGTGCAATATTATATATTTTAAATTATAATGCATCTCCCCAGAGTATTTTGTAGCTGGGAAAAGAAAAAAGGAAAAAAAAAGATTCTAACAGCTGTTAGTTTTGTAATTAAAAAGAACGAAAAAAGAACTTTGTCCTGAACGTTTTCCAGACTTGGCGTTAACAGCATTAAAGAGATTCGACAGAAGCTGGAAGGTGTCTGGGGGTCTGTTATTGTCCCCCATGGCACCTGCACCACAATGATAGCATGGGTCCTGAAGAAGTCCCTCATCCTCATCCTAGACTCAGCCAGGTTGGCCTTTGGGATGAGAAATGGAAAGGGCCCCCAGCAGGCTTCTCACCAAGACAAGGAGTCAAGAGGCCAATTCTGCATTCCCAATGCGTCTGCTTTTATTTGAAAAGGAAGTTGCAACAACAGTGGCTCCAATTGATCTTGGTCAATTGTTCCCCTCTCCTCTCCTCCCCCTGTATGTGTATGTTCCTGGGATCTAATTTAATTAACTTTAGTTAAATACCCATATGAAAATCACTTGTCAGATGTAATAAAAGGGAAGTCTGAATGAGGCCCTTTGGTTCCATGAAGATCTTTAAAGGGAAAGAGAAGTAAGGCTGGGAAAGGTGTAGGTAAGTTTTAGGATAAGTAAACCTAAAGTGTAAAATATATATCACCATTTATCACCATTTTAGAAGCGGATTTGGGGTTTCTTTCTCCCCCCGTTTTATTGGGGAGGACTTGCCATTGCTTTTATGAAGTGCTTGCTAGCCATGGATGCCAACTAATTTCTTCGATTGAAGGCCGGAGGATCATGTCTGGTTCCAGGAGCTGCTTCAGCAAGTCCTGGCATTCGGCCGAGATGCCCAGATGGGTGGGGAAGGACACCCCCTTCTGCTGCTGCCACAGCATCTTGGGAATGTCTGTGTCATCAAAAGGTAGGCTGGCGCAGAGCATGACATAGAGGACGACGCCCATGCTCCAGACATCACCCTTCTTGCTGTCGTGAGGAATACCCTGCAGCACCTCCGGGGCGGCATAGGCTGTGCTGCCGCAGAAGGTCTGGCTCAGCTCCCGGCGTGATTTGGGCAACACCTTGGCAAAGCCAAAGTCAGTCAGCTTCAGGTTGAAGCCCTGCAACAAGGCATTCTCACACTTGAGATCGCGGTGGGCCACACCACAGCCATGGCAGTAGCGGATGGCCTCAACCATCTGACGGAAGAGTGCTTTTGCCTGGCTCTCGGGCAGTGGTCCCCCGTTCAGCACACAGTCAAAGACATCCCCTCCCTCAGCCAGCTCCATCACCAGGTAGATTTTACCATCAGCAGACTCCAGCATCTCATACACCTGGATGATGTTCTTGTGGTCCAGGGTACGGACAATCTGGAGCTCCCGAGGTAGGAATCTCTGGATAAATTCTGAGGAAACAAAGGACAAAGAGATAGGGTGTCAAGTCCAGAAAGTCCAAACTCCTGCCTCCTGTCTTTTGCCTTCCAACATCTGCATGCCTCTCCACCATGTCTGGCTGGGTCTGGTGCCTACTAATCACAATGTGAAATTCTTTTTAACAGTCTTAGATGTCTAGGTGCTTGGACAGTGCAAAGAATATTCACCTTACTTTTGTAGTTAACATATTCAAAGGAACCACTCCCTTCCAACCTCAGGGACTGTTGTGAGCAGCCTGTGAGCCCTTAGGTATCCAAGTACTTGAGGGACTGTTAGACAAAGCCATTGAATCTCAGCTTTAAGGCCTGATTTGCCTGCAGTGGGGTAACCAGCTCCTCACCCCTGCTTCGTGACCAACAGTTCTTTCCATGAGCCCACACCCATCTCTACCTGCCTCCACACCAGCTTCTGCCTCTGAGGACCCTTCACCTGCCACTTTAATCTTGGTTTTGGAGGGTCTGATGTTCCTGGATTCCCAGCATCCCTCTGTTCCCCAATGACCTACTCCAGAGCCACTGTCTCTCTTGGTTCCAGACTAAAGGGAGGAGGAAGCCCCCCACCCACCTAAACCAGCCCTCCCTTCCTCCAAAGGGGCCCCTGCTCACCTTCTGGCCCTCCCATCTTGTCTATAATTTTAATTGCCACCTTTCTTTGGTGTTTTTTGGAAAATGCTTCTTTGACTTTTGAGTAGGTCCCTTCCCCAATGGTCTTGCCCAGCTGGTACCCATTGGAGAGCAGAAAGTCCTCCATGCTGCGTAGCGCTTCCTTCCTATCACCCTCTCAGCTCATGCTGCCTCTGTGAGGCAGCTCTACTCCACCATCGCCCTTGGCCCGGACCTTTTCCCCCCAAGGACTTCACCCACAGCAGCCCCCAGCGCTAGAACATTCTCCGCAGGGCACAGCAGCCGCAGGTGGTGGGGAGGTAGAGGACCAGACATTTTACAACTCCAGCCCAATTGTGATGTAAATATTGTGTGACCCTTGGCCAAAATGGCCTACCCTCAGCAACAGCACCACCAAACCTAGCACCGATTAAGTCATCGCCGCGCTCCCACCCTCCAGCCAGGCAGTGAGTGAGTTGCAGCCCAGCCTGGTGTGGACGGACGCTCAGGGGTTCCAAAGCTTCCTAAAATGCCAGGCTCCTCGCCGAGGCCTCCTCCCAGCTGGTTGCTGTCGCCGCTGCGCCCCCATTGGGCTGCTGGAGGTCTGTGCCATCCAGTCGCAAGGCGCCATGGCGGGAGCCCTCGGTCTCCGTGCGCACTGCCGCACTAGGTGTCGGGTGGCGGAAGGGTTCCCTGGAGGGAGGAACGAGTTCTGTGAGGTCAGCACGCCAAGGCCCAGGTCACAATGCAGCCTTCCCCGTGGACACCCGGGCCCACACGCGCCGCAGACACCTGCCCGTCTCCGCCTGGACCTGAGCGTCCTCCCACGGCCAGGGCTCAGGCAGCCGCTTCCAGCCTGGGACTGGCCTTGGCCTCCGGCAGGTGAGCACGGCCCAGGGGGCGGGCGCAGGGTGAGTGCGCCCGGCGGTCTGGGAGCGGCCTGACGGCCCTGCCCCGCCCCTCCTGGCGCAGAGCGACCCGGGGCCTGGACATGAGTGCCCAGGAGCCCCATCAGGGTCGGAGATTCCCCATTGAGGCGGGCGACTCCCCTGGCCTTGCCGCCGCTCCCGAGTCCCAGGACAGCCCAGAGCCAGTAGCTACGGAGCACAACCCGGTCAGGTAAGCCTGCGGCCCCTCCTGCGCTCCCAGGTCGTCGTCCTCCCACTTTCTGGCCCCAGTCCCATCCACCCTGGCCCCAGATGAGGGCCCACATCCTCGCCGGAACCTCCGAGACTCCTGGTGCACTCCACGGATAAGACCTCAACAGCGCCCCCTGTCGCACTGCTTTTCCCCCAGGCCGCTTCGACGCTGCCCTGGCTGCCACTGCCTGACGCTGCTGCACGTGCCCATCGACGTCTACCTGGCTATGGGCGGGAGCCCCCGGGCCCGCGCCACCTGAGTGCGCCTGAGCACGTCGCGCGCGCCGAACACGAGACAGTGATGCACATTTTAAAATAAAAGAATGATGCACATTTTAATAAAGCACAGCATAAACTGTTCTTTCCACTCCGGTCTGGCCGTGTATGTCTTTCCTGTCGTATCGGGCCCGCTGACTGCTCCGCACCATCCCACAGTGCCTTCCCTATGTCTGCCGCCTCCTCTGAATCCTCCCAGCCCCAGGAACTCATCTTTTCCGGCCCACTTTCTTCTGGCCAGGCGTATACCTCTCCCCCATTATTTGCTAGTCATGACCCCCTTCTCCAGCACCCTTTCCTCTCGGGGCCTTTGTGTTCATCCTTCTCTCTCTCCCATCTCTTCCCACAGCCTCCAGTGAAAGTCACATTATTGTGCTGGACTCCCGGGGCCTAGAGAAGCTCGGGATTGGAGGGGATCGGCAGGCAAATTAGAGTAGAGAATGACCACCCACTCCAGGCTCATTTAATTCTCCCAAGATGGCATTACGTTTTGCTACCTGCTGATTTGTGACCCTGGGCACCTTTGGTTTTGCTGGAAGAGTTGGGGTGGGGGAGTACCCTGTCCATCTTGACCTTGGTTTCTTCCAGAACTGGTAGAACCAGAAAAAAAATTCGAGAAGTCATTTCAAAAACTTTGATTTCAAATTCCTATTTTACAAGTGAGGGAACTGAGCCTTGAGTGCCTTGCCTGGGGTCCCCCAACAGATAAATGATGCTCATACCCTCCAATGTTCTCAGACTTAATGTCCTCAGACTTAAAAGCCATCCATAGGACCAGCCTCTGGCACAAACTTGCCTTAAAGTGTAGTACTGAGGCTGAATAAGTATTTTTCACTTTCCAATTTTGCTTTAATGAACCTGGATTATTTAATATTGGAAAAAAAATATATGTAAGCCAAAGATCTGGTTCAATCTCCTGTCGCCTGAGATCTAAGTGCAATTGACTCAATTTTCCTTACCTAATTTACCTAGGGTAGAAGGCCAAGCTGTCCCTAGAGCACTTCAAAATCCCATGGTTATCTGAAAGGTGACTTCTAGACATCTAAACAAAACACTCTCCTAGGCAGTGCCAAATGTAGGCTTATACAGGAGAAGATGTTTGCCAAAAGGTCTGCTTCAAAGCAAGGACTTCAGATGACCATTCAGCCCCTGGTCCTTCAAAACATCCTGTCTCTTTGAGAGCCCCTCCACACCTAGCTTGTCCCTCCACTAGAATAACCCCTGGCTTTAGGCCCTCGTGCTGGCTTCCCTCTCCTCCTTCACTCCTCTTCTCCTCCACCCTTACTGCCTGGAGAACCCCTCACAGACTCTCCGTTCTTCTATTAAGTGGAATAATCCAGCTGTTTCCATCCCCACCAAACTTAATGTAGCCCCTAGTCAACCTAACAACCCATGATGCTGTTCTGCAGAAAAATGACCTCATTCCTTGTAAACAGTATTCACCCTCCTTAGGAGGCCATTGTCATTTTAGAGAGAAAAAATTACTGGGCTCTATTATTGATATGGTCTAGCCATTGAGAGCACCTGAAGTTAACTTAAACAAAAAAAAAGGATTGTTTCAAGTGGCTGGAAAGGATATGAGCTACCGATTTAAGAAAGAACTGTAGGAATCAGGGCACCTATTGGGACTGAACAAAGGAGTCAACCCCACCAGGACTGCCCCTTGTTCCTCTCTCAATTCCTGATTATCTCCTGCGGAGGCATCAGGATTGCCAGCAGCTCAGAAATCCCAAGAAGGGAGAGGTGTTTTCTCCCACTCTCTGTATGCCTACCCTTGAAAGGGCAGCGATTGGCCCTTCTTAAATCATGTGTACACTCCTTGGGCCAATCACCATTGTCAAGGAGATGGGGGATTATAATTGACCAGTCTGGGCCCTAAGTAAGCCTTCCTTTGAGGTGTAAGCACAACCAGGCAATTGACAGCATCACCAGACAGTAATGGACAGCTTCTACAAAGATTGGAAGATTGATTATGCCTGGGAGAAAAAGAAGCCTGAAAAGAAGGGGTAAAGAGTGACAGGGGCCAGGATGACAACCCTGTCCCATGGCAATGAGGAGCCTTGGGCAGTGTGACCAGGTGTCAGGCCTCTGGGTTCTAGTTCAGACTTTGTCCCTGGCACAGACAATACAGGTCTACCAGGCCTGTGCAGAACACTGGGGATTCAATGGTGAACTTGACCCTCATAGAACTCACATAGAAATCATAGAACTCACATGATTTACTGGGAGGCCTCACTCTGGCAAGTCCCTTCCCTCAGGGAATCTTTCCTCAATGGTTAGGGGGGGAAAAAAGTTGTGGGCGGGGACCAGCTAATCTCTCTGGACCTTGCCAACCCCAAAATGCTGAATCTTTCCCATTCCTCCTTTCTTTCACCTTTCTTCCTTCCTTTGTGCTATCTTCTCAACCCTCCTTTCCTTGAAAAAAAGTTTTATTGCCTCCTCTGATGTTGCTTGGATAATGAGGGATGCAAAGATTCTAGACACTGCAGACATATACCTCGCCAAGGGGCCAGACCCTGAGTCTAGTTAGGTCTAGAATGTCCATGAGTAAGACATTCCAGGTGGAAGGAACACTGTGGGCAAAGGCTGGAGGCAGAAAAGTGGAGGGCGAGTTCAAGAAATTCAGCTCAGTCAACTTTCACCAGTACCTACCTGGGCCACACCAGGTGCTGAGAGCTCAAGCCTGAATCTAATCCCTTGTTCTTGCAGAGCTCAGAATTCAGGGGATCCAGGGATGAGTTCACAGAAGAGAAGCTGGGTCAAGGCGTTGAGTTTGAACTTTGTTCTGTAGGCTACAGGGAGCATGACAGGCTCCAATCTAAATTGCTTCTCTCTCCTGTTTCTCACCTTCTTTTCCATTCTGTTCTCGGTTGCTTTTTCTTCTTTCCTGCTGGAGCCTAAATTCTAGTCTTGGATTTTAGTCCTGACTGGCATTTACAAGCTGTGCAAACTTGGGCTAGTTACTTAGCCTCTCTGAATCTCCATTTCCAAATCTGTGAAATGACATTAATGACACCTGGTGGAAGGTTTCAGTAAGTCATGTGAGTATAGCACCAGGAAGGTATCTCTGGCGCAGCTGGCGCTCAAGGAACTAGAGCCTGTTGCTGCTGCTCCTACATTTGGCCTCAAGGGGCAACAGAGAGCTTGCCAGCCTTGTCCCCAGGGGCTGGGTGATGACCAGCCTGAAGAAGGGACTGGGGAATCCCTCTTGCCTCTCTCTGCCAACTTCCCAGCAGTTCCGCTCAGGAGCCTGGGAACTTGGTAGGGGGAATTTCCAGGGGAACCCCCAAGTGGTAAAAACAGAGTTGCCTCCCTCACCTAATAGAGTAAAGCTGTTCCCAGACGCCAAAGCTGAACTCCCAGATCCCAGCCTTATTGTCTGGACCTGAGGAATGAGCAGGGGCCCAGGGAAAAAAAGGATGGTTGAATCACTGTCTTCCCTGACTTCTCTCTCAGACACCGTACTAGCCAGCCCCTCCTTAAAGAGCCCCATTTTAGAAGGAGGGGGCTAAGTACACAGATGGACCCCCAAGTTACTATGGAGACAGAGAGAAACGTTTGCTGTATCACCACGGCAACAATTGACATCAGCACTACCCTTTCCCATCACTTGATATAAGACGGGGGCAGCCACCCCAACCACAAGCAAGTTCCCCACAAAGCTTCCGGTCAAGAGGCTTAAATATAGTTCAGGAGTCAAAAGCACAGACTCTAATGTCAGCCAAATCTTGATTCCAATCCTTCTTCTGCCTCGTCTTAACTATATGAATTTGAGCAAGTTCCTTAAGCCCTGGGAGTCTTCCTGGGTACCATATGGGTACATAAGCTGCCAGCCTCCAGGGTTAGTGTGAGGATCCCAATCTCAGGGATCATGGGCATTGGGCCAACTCATGGGAAGTGCACCCTGACGTTAGGGACTGTCATGAATCCTAGGGACTTGTCAGGGGATGGTGTCCTTCAGATATAGACTCACAGCCCCTAGAAGTATCCCATGACTTCTAAGAACTGGGCCCCAGAGGTTGAACATCTCAGAATTTGGGAGTCTTGGGTGGATCCAGAGACACTGGAATTTCCAGACTCTGAGGAAGTTCCAAATGTTACTTTCCCTGGAACCCCACCATATCCACACTCTGACCCAACTTCCTTTTCTCCTCCCCTCTGTCTCATCCTGGGTCTTCTTAGCAGCCTCCTACCCCTTGGGCCTCCACCTGCTGCCCTAGGATAAAGGATGAATGGGGGCCCCTGGGAAGACATCAGGAAACCCAGCACCAGGTAGATCAGCGAATTGGACACCACAGGGATATGGCTGTCCCTGCTTCCATGGCCTTTCTCCACCTAATCTTGGAGTAAGAGCGCCAGAATCATTTTCATTCCCCCTCTTTCCAGATGACCGCAGACCATTCTGCTCCAATTTCACACCAGCTTCCCATTGCTGCTCATCTGGATTACTCCTGCAGCCTCCTAACCAATCTCCCTGATTCGCTCCTTGTTTGGTTCTTCCAGTCCAGACTGGTTTTATAAAGACCACAAACCCAGCCTTGTCATTCTCCTATTTAAATTCCATCAATGGACCTGGCTGGTGTGGCTCAGTGGATTGAGTGCCAGCCTGCGAACCAAACAGTGACTGGTTTAGTTCCCGGTCAGGGCACAAGCCTGGGTTGTGGACCAGGTCCCCAGTTGGGGTGTGTGTGAGAGGCAGCTGATCAATGTTTCTCTCCCTCTCTTTCTCCTTCCCCTCTCTCTAAAAATAAATAAATATTTAAAAGTAAATAAATCTCATCAATGGCTTGTTTACATCACTGCCTAGCCACACTGGACACTCCTCAGCTCTTCACAAAACATTCTTCCCACCTGTAAGCATGCTGGTCCTTCTGCCCGGAATAGCCTCCCTCCCAATCCCACTGACCCTTCGGATCTCCACTAATCGCCACCTCTCAAAGAAGACTACTCTGACTGCCTGTTTTTTGCCTACTTGTCCCACTGTGTACTTACCTATATTCCTTGATGCCTGT